TACATGTAAACACATGGGTTTAAATTGTGCTCGGTAACAAACAAAAACAAACAAACAAAACAACCCAACAAACAGACATGCATGCAAAGTAACATGCCTACAAACATACATACATACGCTTTAGACATGTATGCAGGTAAATAGGTGGGTAGGTAGGTAGGTAGGTAGGTAGGTAGGTAGGTAGGTAGGTAGGTAGGTCTCTGTGTGTGCATGTCTTTATGTCTGCGTGTGCGTATGTATGTAGTCATGTATGTATATATGTATGTAAGTATGTACGTATGTGTGCATTTATGCATGCATGCATGTTTCTTTGTCTACTTGTACGCATGCATGCACGTATGTAGGCACATATGTATATACATATCTATGTGTGTACATATTTGTGTATGTATGTATGTATGTATGTATGTATGTATGTATGTATGTATGCATGCAAGTAACTCTGTGTATGTATATATATATATATAAATAAGTACATGCGTATAGCTTGATGAAAATGCAACGCCCTTCTGCAGCCCCGGCCGGCGCGGAAATCTCAATGCTGCAAGCAGAAGCGGCATTTGAGCACCTTCGGCATATCTTTTTAAGGACTTGTTGGCTCAGGGATTGATCGAGGGTTTGGGGCTTTGGTTTTGTCGACGGGTTGGGAGCCAGGATAGGATACCTTCGCCAAATTTGGGTGAGAAGGAGAGTTTTGGAAATTCGACTTACAGACTGTGAAAGGTAGGAGGTCGCAGAGAGGCTTTTCCACGGCTGCTGCTGTTCCGCTGTAGTCTTCGTGGACTTTTGTTTTCGGGTTGCTACATTCTGGTGTTTGGCATCTAGGCTTTTGGGCGTGAAAGTTCGGAGAAACTCCTTGTCGACTCTGGCGAGGTTTCGCTCGTCTTCAGCCAACAGTAGGGGGGGATCTGCACTTTCAAATCGATGATTACCGATACTATTTTGGGGGCTCCTTATTATAATTGTAGTATATTGGGCCCCAAAACACTATTCTAATTATTGAGGCTCCTACACTAAGCCGTGCAGCCGGGATAAGGTGAAGCCTCTCCTGTTGTTCGTTTGCCCGGAGACGGCAACCCTTGACTTCCGACAGCAACCCTTTGAAGGAACCCTTAAAGGAACCCTTAAAGGAACCCTTAAAGGAGACCTGAAACGGGACCCTTAAAAAGCAACCCTTATAAAGGAACCCCTAAAGGAACCCTTAAAGAAAACCTTAAACGGGACCCTAAAAAAGCAACCCTTATAAAGGAACCGTTAAAGGAACCCTTAAAGGAAACCTTAAACGGGACCCTTAAAAGGAACCCTTATAAAGGAACCCCCAGAAAGACCCTTAAAGGAAACCTTACATGGGACCCTTAAAAAGGAACCCTTAGAAAAAAGCTTTAAACGGGACGCTGAAAAGGAGCCCTTAAAGGAACCCCTAAAGGAACCTTAAACGGGACCCTTACGGCAGCTGGCTGCTTTGCTGCACACTCGGCACAGGGGTTTGGCCTTGGCCCGAAACCCCACAACCTCGAAGTCCGCAGGCGAGGGTTTAGGGTTTAGGGTTTTGGGTTTAGGGTCTAGGGTTTAGGGCTTAGGGTTTTGGGTTTTGGGTTTAGGGTTTAGACGCTTGGGAGTTGTTACCATCGCAGCAGGCTGCCAATTCACATATGCCGTCAGCCTATAGTGGAAACCTCTAGACCCTAAACTCTCTTTCGACAGATAGTCCAGAAGGTATGACTAGATATGAAATCATGTAGTGCAAATGAATAAACAGATAACTACATACGTAATTACATGTACATATGTATATCTATAATTAGGTATACACGTACGCACACACAAGCACACAATTTGACTAAAGACTTAGCTTTTCACAACACACCCCTGCATCTCTAAGTGTAAGCATGAGGCTGCACCCTCAGGCCAACAACTCTGCCCAGCCAGGCGCAGCCGCGGCCTTGCGGCGTGGACTGCGCGAGCCGTCCAGCCTCGGGGCCTGGATGGATGGTCGAAGGATTGTAGGAGACAAAATAGGGTTTTTTTTACCAAGGATCTTTTCAGGTTATATGGGATTTTGGAAGGGCTTGCTGAGGGTTTCACAGTTTTGTTGCTTAGTGAGGGCTCTTACAGGGGTCGGCGTATTTAGTAGTTTGACATTCCTTGTCTGTTTGGCAGGGTTTTGGGGTGTATAATATCGAAGCCTAAATAATTACCAATGTTCCTTTAGGGGTTCCTTCTTATACTTATACTACAAAGGCGCCCCAAACCCTATTCTAATTATTAAGGCTCCCATAGAAAGGTTGAGAGATCTGGGTCTTCAGGTTCGTATGGCTTTAGGTTCAAGTGATTTTGGCTCTGCAGGAGTTTAGGGCTCCATAGCTTCAGGCTCGAGCGGCCTCCCTGCCCAAGCCGATCAGACACCCCAACCCAATACCAGAGAACATGGCAGAAGGGCGCTCTCGCTCGGAAACGGTGGTACGCACACACACACACACATATGAGTATGTATATATATATATATATAATTATATATATATATATGTGTGCATACATACATACAAACATACATATATATATATATGAACACACACATATGGTTCTATCATAACATACATATGTGATGTGCATATACATATATATATATATGCATGCATATTTATACATGAATGTATGTGTGTATGTATGTATGTATGTATGTATGTATGTATGTATGTATGTATGTATGTTTGTTTGTTTGTTTGTTTGTTTGTTATGTATGTATGTATGTATGTATGTATGTATGTATGTATGTATGTACGTATGTATGTATGTATGTATGTATGTATGTATGTATGTACATATACATTTGGTTATGGCGACAGATAGATCTTTAGGTATGTAACGAACAAAAGACAGACAAACACACAAGTACATAGATGAACAGGTAACTGTTTAAGTCAAGAAGTATGTGGGTGTGTATATATATATACATACATACATACATACATATGTATGAATGCATGCGACCAACCCCAGGAAACCGACCCTCTCGATGCTGGAAGTTGTTGCATTCAGGCATTCCCTCATGCAGCGAAGCTTCCTGTTCTGGTGCCTTGGCGATCTCAGCTTCCTTTCTCGAAAGGGTTTTAGGGTGCTGGAGTTTGCTGTTGCAAGGCTTCAGGGCTTTCAGGGTTTTCGGGTTGAGAACATACGGCTTTAGGGCGTTCGGCTTCGAGTGCTTCAGGGCAGATAGATAGACGACAGATAGATAGATAGATCGTTAGATAGTTGGAAAGATAGATGGATAGACAGATAGACGGACAGACAGACAGACAGGCAGACAGGCAGACAGGCAGACAGACATGTAGTTGGAGTGCGGCGCGTACCCGCGCGTGTAGTTTCAGCCACTTTTGC